AATAACAAGTATGACTCATTGGGGTCTTAGAATAGGAGGATGTTATAATGAGTTTTCTAGAATTTTCCATGGAAATTTCCAGATTTTCAGTCAGAAAATCCAGTTTTTCGGCCTAAAATGTCCCAAATGTTGTCTTCAAAATGTAGAATTTTCGTTAATTTCAGATAATTTCCAGCCTTTTCAGACATTTTTATATCAAAAACGAGCCACAACTTTGAGCTAAATACAAGCTATCTAGCCTATATTATTTCTGTGTTTCTGTGTATCCGGATGTCGGTCAGAAACGTTTTCAAATTGATTTCAGATACAACTAGGCACATTTTCCATCGTTTTAAGGCGGTTTTTGGACTATTTTAGACCAATTCTCAGTGAAAATCACTTGCGATTGCTCAGCGTTAATTATTCGAATTTTTGAAAAAACAAAAATTTAGGCGTCATTTTCAGACATTTTGAAGCGAAAAACACGTCGTTTTCTGGCTAAAAATTCTCCTAAAAGTAAGTCGATTTTCAGATTTTCAGTGCCCCAAATATTCGATTTTTATGAGTTTTGGCTTTAATTCCAGATTTTCAGATTTTCAGCATTGAAAACCCGTTTTTCGAAAACTCACTTTTGACACTTTTGCGACGATAACAGTATGGCGATGGCCGAGTTGTAGTCGTAGGCGTGGCGTGCCAAGATGGGCACTTGTTCGTCGGGATTCGAGCATTTCTGGAATTTCCAGCTCTACAGTAATCCTCATAGATCAATTGCTCACCTTCCACGTCTGATGCTGCTCAAACTGCTGCTGCTGTTTGTCGTTCTGGTCCTCATAAACGGTCAGTGGATGGGGTTGTCCCATCCATTCATAGCAAATGATCACATACGGAATCATGTGCTCGTCTTTGTCGAATCCTGAATGTTAAGCATGAGCAATGGGTCAAAAATGGGCCTAACAGGGCGTAAAAAGCCGAAAAACCAACCTGTATAGATGCGTCGAATGAAATCACCACGAGTATCGGTTCCCGGATGGATGAATTGCTCACACACGATCTGAAAATTCGAAATTCAGGCTTTTCAGGCTGGTTTAGGCTGTTTAAGGTCTAATTTAGGTTGATCTTGCGGCCTTTTTAGGCTGATTTTGAGCCATTTTTGGTCTTTCTTGGCCCATTTTAAGCCATTTTAAGGCTGATTTTTAGGCCTATTTCAGTCAGATTTTGAGACCTATTTTAGGCTGTTTTAGGCCTATTTTGAGCCATTTTCGGTTCTTCTAGGCCGATTTTAAGGCCCGTTTTAGGCCCTATTCCGTCTAATTTTAGACCGATTTCAGGCTGTTTTGAACTATTTTGGCGCTATTTTCAATCGTTTTTTGTCACTTTTCACGGATTTTAAGCCATTTTAAGCCCATTTTCACTTGTTTTGAACCCAATTGGATTCATTTTAGTCCCATTTTGACCAATTGTAGCCTATTTAGACCAATTTCAAGCCATTTTGGACCATTTGAAGCGAATTTTGAGCCATTTTCAGCCCATTGCACGTAATTTCGAAATACTGATTTTTCACAATTTTAGGGTCATTTTAAGCCTATTTTGAGCTATTTTTGACTATTTTAGACCATTTTTCGACTACTGTGGACCATTTGTGTTCATTTTCAGGTCATTTTAAGCCTATATTGAGCCTTTTTGGACCAATTTCGACCATTTTTTAGCTATTTTCAGCAATTTTCAGGCTGTTTTAAGCTTTTCTCGATCAATTTTGGCAGACTTTCATTTTGGAAAATAACGGCTGAGAAATCCAGTTATAAACTGATTTTCGACCATTTTCAGGCTATTTCCAGCGATTTTCAGCCAATTTTCGCGCATTTTAAGCCATTTTAGTGTCATTTTAAGCGTAAAAACTACCTTCAAATTATGATCGTTCTTCTGTGTGGCCAACGGTCTATCCGCCCCATTCCTCCCTCCAATTATATACTTCCTCACAAACATTTGAGCGGAATTCCACGTTTTAAGCCCATTGTCACCTGATTTGAGCCAAATTTGCCTCATTTTGAATCATTTCAGATCAATTATGACCACTTTTAGCCAATTTCAGTCTAATTTAGACCATTTTTGACAGGTTTCAAGCTATTTTAAGCATTTTTGAGCTATTTCAAACTGATTTTGA